GTAGACAATGAAGCCAAGCCAGCACCAACAAGCCCACCCAGTGGTCCTCCCTCAGCGACCCACAGCCCACTGCAAGGAGAGAGAGAGATCTCCCATAAGTCAGACAGCAAGCTTCTTTTCTCAAAATTGGAATATCAGTATAAGTGAATAACTTGGGAGAAAGACTGTATTTGTATGGTTAATGTTTTACACCCCCCTCTACAAAACTACCATTTAGAAAGCGGGCGTTTTAATCCCACCTTTGAGTGCAGGATCAACCCGGGCTGGACGGGATGCAACATCTCAGCAAAAAGACGTACATACTCAATAAAATAACATATCTACACAAGAATCGAACTTTATGTCTCCATGAACCAGCGAAAGGACTAACCACTACACCACAAAGGCCGGTGCGCAAAAACTCGGGTCACTCAGGGAGGACAAGACAGGGCTGAACGTGCCCCCCCCCCAAAACCTCTCACCAAAGGTTGTCACACAGTCACCATTAGGAACTGAAGTTTTTTTTTCTCTTTGATTCTGCCAGGTACAGCTGGGTTCTAACTCACTAGGCCAGAGTGTATAATATGTACACAACTGTCTACAGGTTGGAGGGGAGGGAGGGGGGATGAGGCAGGACCATAGGCCTTCACAGAACACCTACACCTCCTCCCCCACCCCGATCCCCACCCTTCAATAATCAATCACTTGCTATTTACTATGGACCAAGCCCCACAAAAATAAATCAGAATTCTTTGTACACTGTACAATACCTCAGTCCTAAATGTACAAAAATACACACACAAAAAAGCCAACACAAAATCAGGTCAGCCGACAATGACCTGGACCATGGCCTTCCCCCAAATAAAACAACCAAAACCAAACTAATAAAAAGACGGCAAAAAAAAAAAAAAAAAAGGAAGCAGGCCTACTCATCTTGCTACACATTCTGTGGTGAATCAACGCAGCATGTCCTGCCAAAATTTCAACCAGAGTGTTGAACTAAATCAAACGAAGACTCATGTGCCAAAAGGGTGGGGTGAACATCCTGGTAAAAACACTTTTTTAACCAACTGGGATATACAATATGAGAAACATTCAAGTGCTCGTGTAGTGAAAGTCATAGTTGCTTAATGTTACCTTATGCTTTAATAGTTCAACTGACTACACAACATTTTCTCATTTCTCAAACAAATTTCCACTTCAGATCCATCTCTCAATGCACGTATCCCTCTACCCACAATTCTATAGACTCTCTCCTACTGCAGGGAACAATTTGTTCTCAAGTTGGCCCCCACCACAAAAATCTACTTGTACTTATACAACAGAGGTAAAAACAATTTCAGAAAAAAACCCCCCACAGAGAGCTTCCCCTACTAGCCCCTTACAAAAGGGTGGGGCGAGAAGTGGGGGGTGCATATTTTATCCCTAAAAAAACAGACAACATATTTTATGCCTCTTCACATGAGGGAAGGGAACAATAAAAACCAGTCCCTAACCCATGGGCACAGCGACCGGCCAAGTGCTAGGATAAAGTGCTCCACACATCCAACACTTTGGACAGTCAGTGGCGCTGTCACTGTCAGCCTCTTCTTCACACACGACTTCGGTGAACATTGGCAACCACAGAGGTAAGGTACAACATCTATCCATATTATGATTCTCTTTCAATATCAAGAGCATTTAGAAACATGTATTGCATACATTGTCGAGGGTGAACATCTCCATCAATTTAGCGGTAGTCAACAGAAAGAAACTAAACAGACCAAAAGAAACCACCAGGAGGGAATATGGTAAAAAGTATGTACAACAACCTCCTGGTCAACGTATATATGTACATAAACTACATCCACTATCAATGTACATTAATTGTATCCAGTCGCAAAACAGTTATTTAATTGTATTAAACAACAAGACATATAGAAAAATCACACAAAAGTCCAGTTTCCTTGAACTTAAATATATATATATATATAAATCTAATGGAGAATAGAATATTTCTCTACATTCCATATAAATTAACAGTCACCCTCGCAATCAAAACATCCTTCTCTCTCAACTTCACAATAAAACCCATACAGAGATAACACTTCATGACATTAAAATATACAGGATAAATTTCTTTTGCAGTATTTCTTCACAATTTGCGTGTCGGAAACTATACAAAACACAGCAATGGATTGCGGAGGGGGTGAGTGTGCTTGCAACACCAGGAAGGGAAAAACACAAAGAGAGAGAGATCACAGCATCCAAGACCTCTCTATATCCTCGGATTTTACACTTGCTCAAAACCATGACCATGCACACACACACCAACACACACACACACACTTGTACAGCCATTGTTTTGTCACACAAGTTGTACTTTGTTGTCTCCTGCACACCACACCTCCATTCACACAACACACACCCACACATATATAAATATGTATACAAAAAAAACAGTAAAACAACAGCTGCAATAAACACAAGTTTTCTTGATCATTCAAAAACACACCACACACCCTTACACCCAATTTGTTTCAGTCCCATAATATTGATATATAAACTACAAACTTATCCCATCATTCCCTCACACTGTCACACAATAACATTTACATGGAAACACATCCTCCCATTCCCTTACAGTCTCGCAATGACACACACACACACACACACTCACAAGCCCACACATACACAGACACGCGCGCACTCACACGCCCACAGACCCCAAATGTCAAGAGAGCGTGGCAGCCAGGTCTCTTGACCAAACCTTTGGGGAGTCGACGAAAGTGAAAAAGGTTTGGGCAAAGAGATCCGACTTACGGGGTCCCTGGGGGCACACCGACGCTCTAGGTTTGCACACAGCTCCACAAGCAGGCAATGGCTTGGCAACACAGGAACATCTACACGTGTGTCCGTGTCCCTTTTGTTACGCAATGCCGCCTTTCCAATTGAAACAAATACACGATACAAAACACACACACACACTCCATAATCATCAAGTGACTGTATAATGCCTAATTTCTGAACTTCTTATAGCTTCTGTTGTTTGCACAGTGTATATTACAGTTCAACTGCTGTATAGTAGTCAGGTACCATAGAACACACCAGCCATGGGTTTACACACAAACTCAATATACAAATCAACACCACAGAAATATCACACCCGTGCCAATCATATTCAATTTGAATCTATTGAATTAATCACCCACGTCTCTCTTTCTTCCTTACTTTCTTCGTCAGCTGTCCTTTTTTAGCTCCCAATTACTCCAATCAAAAACTACCAGAACAAAAAAAAACTGCATGTCACAGGCATTACAGAAAGCCGAGTTGCCGAAACTTTTGTTTGCTGCGACTTTCCAAACTGCTAAACTGGCCAAAATCTGATTGTCTTTTCTGTCACCTGCTCAAAGCCATTCAAAGTGTTAAAAAGGCCTGAGTGTTCACCATGTCAATCTGAAGGTTTCGAGCATTACGGTTGTGACATCAGCCATTGTTGTATCAGCTGAGACTAGCGATAGTATAACTCCATCCATTCGCGCTCAGTGGCAGTTGTTTTCAAGAGCTCTCTGATGTTTCGAAGCCTTCCATCAAAGTGTTTTACTCTGAAGTCGGTAATGTGGTTTATAGTTCCAAATATAAGTAATAGTCCTAATGTATGGTCTTGGGTTCAAATCCCCCCCCCCCCCCCCCCCCCCCCCCTTCACCTAAAGGCTCTGGGACTTTCCAATGGCTCCCTCGGCCCGTCTGTATATTCCTGTTTCATCTTTGTCCCCTAGGATCAAACAACATGCCAATGCGTCACGCAGCTTAACAAAGTTGTACTATGTTTCTATCCCTGAAGATCACTAAGCACCCCATTTGCAGCTGGGAGAATGGGAAGTTCAGAGAAAGTCTACTTCCAACGGTTTCCACGCACTACTACAACCTTGCTGGGCTGGGCATCAAACGAGTGATCCTATGATTGTAAGCCATTGTCCAGATCTCTATGAAAGCGGATATGGGGGGAACACTAGCACATTCCCAGCATCAGCTGTTTTCTCACCCTCCACTGGTTACGTCCAACTATGAAGTTGTTTCTTTCCCTTTTTTCTATGGACAACTGATCAGTCCTCACATGTCGTCTACATTGATGTGGTTGTCAGATCACCTATGCCACTCGCACCGCAGAGACGACACGATACAGACACAGCAGAAGTCTGCGGACCTCACAGAAGCTGAGGGTGCCTCTTCATGCATCTATTGGTGCGTCGGCCACCCCAAACAGCCGAGAGCTGTAACTTCTACTCTCCTGAGACATCGCTCATCTTCCTCTGTTCATCCATTTCTGGACCTCTCCGGGATCATCCGTTTGCGGATCTGTCCAGATTCATCCTTTGGCAGAACTATCTGGGTTTGGTTTCGTCCGTTTGTGGATCTCTCTGGATTCATCCAATTGCCGATCTCTCAAGATTCATTCCTTGGCAGATTTCACTGGGTTCATCCAATTGCAGACCTCTTTGGATTCATCCATTAGCAGATTTCTCTGGGTCTATCCACTTGCAGATCTCGATGGATTCATTCATGCACGGATTTCTCTGGGTTCATCCATTAGCAGGATCACTCTCAGTTCATCCCTTTGCGGATCTCCCTGGGTTCATCCATGAGCAGACAGATCTCAGTTCATCCTTTTGGGGATTCCTCTCGGTTTATCCAACAGCAGATCTCTCTCTCAGTTCATCCATTTGCGGCAGTTGGTGGCACCACACATGCAGGGGATTTTGTGCTGGTCGTCCTCAAAGTCAAACTTGTAGTCATAGGTCAGCTGTGGGCAAGAAGAAGGAAGAAAGTTGAGCACAGGTTGGAAGACAATAACTCATTCTCTTACAATATGAACTTGGAGGAAGGCGGGGAAGAGGAAGACCCCCCCCAAAAAAAAATGTTTCTCACCAAATCAGATCATTTTGAATATGAAGACTTAGGAGCTTTTAAGAATTCATTCCTTATAATAAAACTAAATTAACACATGTCTACTTGAGAACAAAGTTCACAGACCTGGACACACACACACACACACACACACACACACACACACACACCCATACACATACATCAGCGAGAAAATTATTGCCAGAGTTTGATGACTGCCAAAGCTATATTACCTTGAAACTGAGAACAGATTTTTTTCTGCCTTTGATCAAAATTTTTTGGTTTCGTGTTTTAAAAAAAAAGTAAAATCCATACAGGAATGTGTTCATAAATAGAAGTAAAAGGAATTCAGTCCAATAAAGAAAATTGATACAAATTGCTAAAAGGCCAGAAAAATATAGAGAATTTCTATAACTTCTTTATTTTGACCAGCGCCTCATTTCATTATGATGCTACACACATATCTCACATCACAAATTACATCACTAAATACAGACAAACAAACAAAACCATGAGAAAAAAAAGAAGAAAAAAAGAAGGAAAAATATTACTACTGAAAAGAAAACTGTGTGCCATTAAGCCTAGAAATCGAACCTCTTCTCCTTTAGCGATCTTGCGGTTGGTGATGATGATGATCTTGCTCTCCTTCTCAATGTCCACCACCTCGGCCACACAGTTGGGGTTGCAGGAGTGGTTGATGTAGCGGGCTGGGCCGCCCGCCATGGTGGCGTCGATCACCACGTCGTTGTCGATGCGGAACATGTACACGCCCCGGTTCTGTGGACAGACAAACCATAGCGGTGATTTTTTGGTTTTCGCTCACGTAAAGAGAAGCACATCGATACAATAATGGTTATCCAATGCTGGAAAAAGTGGGTTTTGTTTAAGTAAAGAGAAGCACATTGACAACAAGCTGTTCTGTTTGTTTGAGGAGAGAGAGGTACATTATCATATTAACATTCATTTAGTGCAGGGGAAAACAGTTTTGTTAGGTTGTTGAGTTAGTTTAGTTTCAGTAGAGGGTTTTGCGGCACTCGCAACTGCATAAGTTCATATGAGCGCCAGAAGATTAGAGGTGTTACAAGAGAGTAACAAACACAAAAAAGAAGAAGGGAAGATAAGGACGATAGATGTTTGATAGGAAAGAAGAAGCAAACCACACCAGAGCACACACCAACCATCCACTTGTTAGGTTGAGTAAACAGACACAGACACATTAATAGTTATTTATTTTGTTTGTTTTAGTAGAGGTTTTTGGGGTTTTTTTGTAAAGTGTTTTACGGCGCTCGCAACTGCATAGGTCATATGAGCGCGCGGGACACACCTAATATTTTCAGTTGGTAGGAAATTTTGAATTTTGCCTGGGTAGCGACCGAAGCCTACTCTTATCGATTTTAGACCACCAAGGGATCTTTAACGTGCGCAACTTGCACACGGGCCCTCCGAGATTTTTCGCCCTTGTCCGAGAAGGCTAGGTGTAGATCTTTCCTACCAGAAGATCTGGGGTGTGGCAGAAAGACAGCAGTAAGGAGGGGCCAAGGAGTAGCAGTAGAAAGGCTGCAGAAAGAGTCAGGAGCCCAGAGGAAGGGGCAAAGGAGGTGAGGGCAGAAAGTGGAAATGAAAGCAGACAACAGTACATTGCTAGAGAGCAGGAAAGGAGGTGAAAGGAGACAATTTTAGAGAAGAAAATTTTTTGGTCGCTACCCGGATTCGAACCCGGGACCTTTGAATGAGAGGCCAACACTTTAACCTCTAGGCCACGAGAGCCCCCCAAGTAGAGGTTTCACGGCGCTCGCAACTGCATAAGGTCATATGAGCACCAAGGGGTGGATGTCAAAAGAGAAGTCCTAGCAGATTTACTCTGCGCACCTCTCTAGCTTCAACAGCACAAAGTCTGCTTCGACTATCAAGGCACCCCGGAAATAGCGGGTCACAAAAGTGATACAAACATACAAAAAAAGTACAGGAAAAATGACGATAGTAAGGATTAGGGAGAAAAAAAGCAGTAGTTCCCTGTTGCAGTTCAGGCAGTTATGAGCATGACATTGATGAATCAGCCCATTTACTGTGCATAAGAACATGGTCAACGTCCCCCCTTTGGGAATGGCCTAAAGACCCCGCCCCGGGGAGTATAATAGTTATTTAATGTTGAGAAAAAGTTTTATCGTTTAAGGAAAGAGAGGCCTACCAACATAATAATGGGAATGTGGTGGTGGAAAAAAGACTTAACAAACCCGTCCCACCAAAACCTCCACAAACACAAGATTCAAACCAACTGCAGTCAGCACTCACCTGTGACTCATACTCCTTCTCCCTGCGGTTGGCCACTTCATTGCGAATGAGGTCGCCGATGTACTCTATCACCATCGTGTGCTTCTCCAAGTCCTTGGCCGCGTACAGCCCCAGACCCTAATCACAGAGGAAAACAAATAGTTAAACATACACGACATTATACTTCAGCATCAATGAAGTGTAGCCTAAATTCTAATTTGTATGAGTAAAAAGAAGCACATTGACAAAGACAAACGGTAACTTACAGCTGGGAAAGAAAGAGCAAGACAAAAAGATAGAAATTGCGGGGGCAAAATAAAGAAGTAGGTCCTATCACATGCATCTGCCAACCACCTGCATTAGAAATAGAAAAACACACGGTTTCCTGCTTTTAGTTTTGCACAGCATTTGAACTACAAAAAGCCGATTGCAGATATACCTTCTCAACAGATAGTTGATGCCATACATTTTAACTTAGATAACTAAATATTGCAGACATCTGTCAGGGATTACCTTTTTAAAATTGTTACTACTCTCGGATTCAAACCCTGACACTTTTTGCATAACCCCAATATCACAGACCGTCAACTCCTACACGCTAGCTCTAAACACGTCTCAAACATACAGCACACATGATCACACACTCCATCACCCACCTGAATGCGGGACCTGCCCAAGTAGACCAAGGTCTTCCAGTCAGTCCTCAGGCGGCGGTACTGCTGCGACTTGGAGTGGACAAACTGCTTGAGGTAGGGGGAGTTCATGTCGCCCGACACACCCGTCACGGTTGACGGCAGAGACCGCGAGTTGGTCGACTGAAGGGTGTGTGGTCTGTGGGAGGGGGAGGGGAGGAGGGAGTAAGTATGAGTACAAAAATGAGGTACTAGCAGAAGACAAATGCTAAATAAGCTTTTCTGTACTTATGAGCTGTACAACATCCCCAGTCAGAAAGAAAAAAAAAAGAAGGAAAAAATTAGGGGGGAGGGGGGGGAGAGAATTCTTCAACATTTGAGAAACAAAAAATTGAAGAAACCTAAAACAAACTACGGACTAATTTACGAAGGGCTAAACATGCTGACCTAAAAGATGTTCATTCCACACACTTGATAAGCAAAATATATGGCGCAGATTTTTATACTGATTTAATTGATTTTAAAAGGCCTTACATTTCACATGTTATAACAAATGACAAAATAGTACGCATGATGGGGGGGGGATATGTGTGTGCACAAATAACAGAAATAAAAGTGACATAGTAAGTAAAAAGAGGGGCCTAATAATGGCAACCCTCCAATTAGAGCTTGCTGTTGAGCGGGGATATGCGCTATACAAAAGCTATTTATTATTATTATTACCAAACAAGATGCGATAAAAGAAGATCATGACAGACAAGACAACAACAAAATCTCAAACAGTGGTCACCTCCTGAAGTGAGTCCTCAGCTTGGGTTCTGTGCGGGCACACCCAGTGGGGTTGATGGCGGGAGGCATCTCAATCAGAGGGGAGCGGCCGTACTTGAAATTGTAATTCTGCAGAAGGTCTGTGCCGGGGAGCTGGGGTAGGAATGATTGGTTTTAGTTAAATGTTTTACTGCCCTTGCATCATGATTAGGTAATACATAAAAAATCAAAGATTAGAGGTGTAACAAAAGAGTTACAAACACAAAAAAGGGGGAGAGATAAGAATGATAGATGTGAGATAGGAAAAGGAGCGAACTGCATTAGAGCACTCGCCAACCATCCTAAGGTAGAAATGAGACGTGCCAACAGGTAGGCAACATGTGCGCTCTTCCGTCTGGAGCATGCTGCACACAAGGAACATGCTGCACACAAGGAGCATGCTGCACACAAGGAACATGCTGCACACAAGGAGCATGCTGCACACAAGGAGCATGCTGCACACAAGGAACATGAAGAAAGGGGGGGCCAAAAGTAGGCACACAGCGACGAAAAATGAAAGCACGGACACTACTTACTGCACTTACATGTGTTACGCAAAAAAATGAATATTGCATATTACATGCGATAACAACACACCCTTAATCTCTCAGAAAAACTGCTTGACGATGGTGTTCACTTACTCCTCAAAATGTATTTGCTTGTAAAAAAAAAAATGTGTTTTGAAGAGTAAAACAAGTAGACAGGTGTGAAGCAGCGTGTGAAAATTCAGAAAAGGAAAAAAACAACTTTTGCCTCAAACTATAAGGAGCACTGACCAGTAGACATCACATTCACCAATACACATCAAAAGAAATAGGAGTGTCTGCTCACCGATTCAAGGATCTTGACCACATCTGGTTCCTTGAGGCCAAAGAGTTCTTCTGCAGCAAGGGGAGTGGAGAACATTTTGACCAGGTCTGCACTGCGACGCATGTGCTCTAGAGGCTTCAAGATGTTCATCCACACAGCTGATAGGATAAATTGAATGTATACAAATTAAAATTGTTAAATCACTTACAAAGCGCGAAAATATTTATTTTTAAAAATTATAAATTTTGCTAACAACTGTGTAGTAAATCTTAAACAGCCAAAGTTTAACAGGTCTCTCTTTTTTCCCCATCATACTTTCTTTCCTGCCTTTTGAACAAGACGTTTATGTCAGTTCATAAATACTTACATTATTCTAACCCTGCTTGAATTATACTCCTTAAAAATATCTTTTTAAATTTAGCAAGTGTTTTACGGCACTTGCAACGCAATAAGGTCACATAAGTGTCGAAGGTAGAGGTGTTACAAGAGAGTAACAAACACAAAAAAAGAAGGAGGGGAGATAAAGACGATATATCTGAGCCTACTATAGACTCTTTGAGATCAATACTCTCTTCAACACTGAAGCAAAACGTTTACCAATATGAAGTATTACTCTGCACTTGACAATCCACACTAGTCAGAAGATAACACAAAGACATTTCCACATACTGACACTGATACACTCATACAGACACAAAGACATGGTCACACACCGACACAAAGACACGTTCACACTCACACAAAGACACATACAGAGACACTAAGACAATGCCACACACGGACACAAAGATACATTCACACACTGACACCAAAAAATGACACTAAGATATGTCCTTACACTAACACTAAGACATGTTCACATTCTGACACTAAGAGATGACACAGACACATTCACACACTGACACTATGACATGAAACAAAGACACATTCACACACTGAAACAAGACATGACACAAAGACACATTCACACACTGACACTAAGACGCATTCACATACTGACACTAATACACGCCCACACAACGACACAAAGGCATGACAGTAAGACACGCCCACACACACTGACACAAACACACATCACCCCCCCCCCCCCCCCAAACACACACACAATCATCAACACTTAAGACAAAAACAGGTCCAGCGTGTACCCACCAGCAGGGCTGGAGTCCCGGAAGGTGACGTCCTCTCGGCCCTCCGCCACCACCTGTATGCGGAACTCTGGCTCGCCGTCCTTGTCGTGGATGCTGCAGATGTAGCGGCAGCGCTGGTACACCGAGTGGTAGCTCCAGTGGAAACGGCTAGTGCTGAACCCAACCTGGGAGGGGACACACGCACACAAGAGTTCGGTTTTGTTCTGTTGGGGTTTTTCTTTTTGTTTCCTTCCCCCATTTTGTTTTAGTAGGAGTTCACTGCACTTGCAAACAAACTAGTAAGATAAGCAGCAAAGATTAGGGAGAAGTTACAAGATAGATGAAGGCACCATAGGACACTCTTTTTTACCTATAAAAAAAAATCTACCTGCAACTTGCTACTTGAACCCCCAAAAGTTTAAAGTGTCTTTTGAGAATAAGTCATAATGATCCATGCGTCCCCATAGAGTGTAGAAACCCCAGAAACGTATAGTAGGTCAATTAAGGACAGACTGGATTTACTTTTTCACCCCCACCAGCCATATGACTTCAAAGCGTTCAAAAAACGTGTAAAAACTTTTTTTTGTGTTTTAGTAAGAATTTTAGGGCACTTGCAACACAATAAGGTCATATAAGTGCCGAAGATTAGGTGTTACAAGAGAGTAACAAACACAAAAAAGAAGGAGGAGAGATAAGGACGACAGACGTCCAATAGGAAAGGAGGAGCAGACCCCCACCACAGCACCCTCCAACCACCCACAAAACTTTCAAAAACCTAACAAAACAACAAGGACTCACCGGGAAGATGTACTCCCTGGTGTTGAACTTGCCACACAGAATCTGGTGGGGGAGGAGCTGGCCCACGCTGTGCAGAACCAGGGAACCAATACGCAAGCAGCACGTGCGCTCTTCCATCTGGAGCATGCTGCAATACACCAGATACACAAGCAAAGAGAGTCAGTTTAGTTTTCACTGAGTGTTTTACAGCACTTGCAACACAATAAGGTCATTTAAGTGCCTAAGATTAGTGGTGTTACAAGAGAGTGACAAACACAAAAAAGAAGGAGGGGAGATAAGGACGACAGACGTTTGGTAGGAAACGGCCAGCGTCTACTTTTGCCACCTTTAACAGGCTAACATTTTCGTGCCACCCACTGACAGTATTTCCAAGAAGGGCGTCAAATGATATCCATCACTATGCTGGTGATCCCCACTGCCCATTAAAATCATCCAAAAGTTGGTGATATAGCCCAGGTTGACAAGCACTAAGATAGACCGATCAAGTAAGAAGCACAAGAGAATTTCATCAAAATCCAGAAGCTCTGAAATTTGCATTGATAGCAAAATATCTACTTGTGGTTAGCTCGACAGAGATTTAATCTAAAAAAAAAACATTTAAAAAACCATGAGTTGTGAAAGAGTAAACAGTTGAAATATCAGATGTATTTTCTTGATTATGTCATGTATCTGATGCATTTGCTCAGGCACTCAATTTCAAATCCATGTTACCAAAGATAGTACATAACAAGATGGGCCACTTCTCTCTTTGAGCCAATTAAAAGTGTCCTCAAAATTCGGTGGCGCCCTCTTCGCAAAAGCGCACCTTTAGCGAACAGAGTTATCCTACTTGAGTTTAAAAAATCAAAGTGAAACTAGCAAGTTTTTGAATGAATTTCGGAAGAACGCTTTTTAAAAATGGTTACGCTGACAAAAAACCTCTTCTGGAGGAAAGGGTGATTGTTTTCTTCGTTTAATTTGACTTTAGAATGAAAAGCAAGAGGTCATTAAAAAAAATTTTTTAAACTAAAACTCCGTACTGAACGAACCCGAACTGCTGATGAACAGCAGTCTATCTGCGCACGCAAGGAGGTGCTATTCCTATTCTTCTTCTGGAAAAACGAAAGAGAGCTTCAAAACAGACTGCAGCGCCATCTGAAGCAAAGAGCATACTTCCTGCGGACACTTTTTTGGCTGAGTGGCCCATCTTGTTATTTACTATCTTTGATGTTACCAAACAGTAAGTCATCTATAGGAATATATAAAGTAATCGCAGCGCCATCTGAAGCAAAGAGCATACTTCCTGCGGACACTTTTTTAGCTGAGTGGCCCATCTTGTTATTTACTATCTTTGATGTTACCAAACAGTAAGTCATCTATAGGAATATATAAAGTCAGCGCCATCTGAAGCAAAGAGCATACTTCCTGCGGACACTTTTTTAGCTGAGTGGCCCATCTTGTTATTTACTATCTTTGATGTTACCACACAGTAAGTCATCTATAGGAATATATAAAGTCACATCTGTTAATGGAAAGAGCAACATAAACCCTTACAAAACTCACCATCATGAGTTCAGAAACGTACGTGCACAGGTTCCAACCTGAGTTGTTATCACAGTAATGAAGTGCCTTTTCAATCAATCAAATGAACGAACAGCACATCCCGACCTCAGTGCTTTCTTGTCGTACCTCCATTTTTTTAAACAGTGAAAACAGTTCATAACAAAGAGTGAGCTTAAGAAAAAGTCACATTTTCACTGTTTAAAAAAACTGAGATACGACAAGAAAGCACTGAGGCAGCGACATGTATAATTCAAGATTTAGAGAAGGGAAAACTTTCGAACACATGAAATGAGTGACAGAACTTTGAAAAAGCATGTTCACAACAACCAAATACCTTGCCACTTGTCGATCCTCATCCCGGTTCACGTAGACCCTCCGCAGCACCACCAGATTCTGGAGCTCATTACCCAATGGCACTTTGGGAATATGGTTCGGACACAGCAGAGTCTGCAACATTTCAACAATACATAATGAGGGGATCTCTATCCCGGCAAGGTACAGAAACAAACTGACGGTGTTCTGCTCTGATAGGGGGACTGGTTACTTCAACATTTTTCAGCAAGCAAAAAAAAAACCCTTTCCATTTAAATAATGAGAGACGACACAAAATACGACCACAGTACTTTGATATCTTTCAAACCACATGTTAACTCCTGATTTTTACCGAGACCTGCACAGCGACCTCGGCAACGGTCTTGGAAAAGTTTACCCATTTCTTGTATTTCCACAATTAGAGTTTGACACCATCAAAATATGTTAATGACATTCTGTCATTCTGCAATTTAAATTAACAAATTCATTACTATCAGCAAAAAATAATCGCTGGAATTGAACTTTTAACAAGGAACAAAAAATGTTTTTAAACCCAAGCAAAAAGATCCAGATTTTGGTATTTTACCGGTTCTGGTCCACCACTTCAATGTCAAAACAGGACAGAGCTACAAAAACCATCCAACACCTCTTTGAGTTTAAGTAAAGGGAAGTGTATCGACACTATAGCCGTCATGAAGTGCTTGGAAAATCCAAGACAGAGACAGACAAAACTTAACAGAAGGAGAGCAACAGCGCCCTCCATCCACCACCTCACAAAGCTTTTATCACTGAAATATCACAGAACCACCACCCACCTTGTCCTGATGAATATATCACTGAACCACCCACCTTGTCCTGACAGGACATATCACTGAACCACCCACCTTGTCCTGACAGGACATATCACTGAACCACCACCCACCTTGTCCTGATAGAACATATCACTGAACCACCACCCACCTTGATCTGATAGAACATATCACTGAACCACCACCCACCTTGTCCTGATAGAACATATCACTGAACCACCCACCTTGTCCTGACAGAACATATCACTGAACCACCACCCACCTTGTCCTCATAGAACATATCACTGAACCACCCACCTTGTCCTGATAGAACATATCACTGAACCACCACCCACCTTGTCCTGATAGAACATGCATCCCCGAGCCTTGGCGCACGGCATGTGGTACGAGTTGGTGCAGCGGTGCTTAAAGCAGGCCAACGTGGCGCCCTTCTTGTGGCACACGACGCACTCTACCGAGCCACTGCGCTGGCAGGCCAGCTCCACGTTCATCAGCGCGCCGTTGAGCGTCTCGTACACGTCGTACGACCACAGGGCACAGTTCAGGTGGACCCACTTGTTCACGTCCATGTTCAGCAACCTGGGAGAGGAAGGTTGGAGAAATTAACTCATGTCTATATGTGGCGCATCGTGGTGAAATCAGGCGCTCGTCAAAGTAATGAAATTGAAGAAATATGAATTTTGTCGAATGTCTGATTTCACCACATCGTGACACATATCATACACTGCCTCGGTCAGTTCATATAAAGAGCCATTTGTGTCATTTGGTACTCTTCACAATCATTCATAAAAACATTTTCACTTTTTGCAGAATGTTGCTTTCAGCCCTGTAAAACTTTCCCAAATCATTTGAATTCATCATACGCTGAGATGATCTTACCCCTTTTCTTTCCTCAAGTACCTGAATAAGTCACATCAATCCTACCCAGGTTCTCACTACTAGAATCTCCCCCCACCCCCACCCCCACCCCCAATAGATGTTCCATCTTAGCATCAAATTCAGGTTTGTCTTTATTATCTGAAGGTTTGGAGTAATGCATTTTCTTTTCTTTTTCTTTTTTTTTTTTTTTTAAAGCAACCTGTATCGATGATCATGATAGCTTAAAAGGGCCATAAATTTTAATATCTTTCAACTCCTCTCCCCACCCACACACCCAATGTTTTTTTCATGCCTCCGGTCAATAACCCCCCCGTCCTTCCTCACCTGCTGGGTCCGTCCATCTCCCCGTCTCCAGCCTCCTGACAGAAGACACAGATCCGCTTGTCCACCACATCGGGCTTGGGCCGGTGGCAGATGGCCAACGACTTCCACAGCTGGTCAAGCTCGCTGGACGGAGTGCTGGCTATTTTGGTCATGCTGTCCAGCAGGTCCTGGTTTCCCCGGGCCCAGCGCTGACCACGCCATTTCTTCACTAGAGGCTGTGGGCGGGGAGTTTTAGTTTTAGTAAGGTTTTACAGCTCTTGCAACTGCATAAGGTCATTTGAGTAAAGAAAAACACATCAATGTTTGATGTACGTTTTGTCTGAGTAAAAATTAGCATACAAGCACAATAATTATCATTCAGCAAACGTAAAAGAACATACTTGCATCACATGAAGGTCAAGACCGTCAACCTTTTTTTCTCCTTCTTTCAAAAGAAAGAGGTCCCTTTACCAAATGCCACTTCCATAAAAACTTTCCGAAAATGAATCAACTCGTCATAATTTCCCGGTGAGAAGACCCCATATTCCGCAATAAATACCAGTATTTTGTTTGGATCTATGTACAAATTAATATCTAATGCCAATTCTTACAATGTCTCACAAACAGCCCATTTGGTCAATTTATAGTCGAAATTAAACAAATATCTAATGCTAATTCTTTCACTCTCTCACTCGGGAGAACCACTTTCAGAATGCTTCCACTAGAGGCACTCCTGTCCAGAATGTTCTCTCTCACCTTGGGGTAAGAAGAGTCCGAGATCTGACTGCTCGACCTGCGATGTCTCTTAGCGGCCTTGAACCCTGCAGGGCTGGTCCCTGAGAACGGCGAGGTGGGCGAGGCCGACGGAGAACCCGGGCTGGCCAACATGCCGCTGGGCGTGTCCGGCAGGCGTGGCGACAGCGACGTATCCGCGGCAACGGCTGCGATGATCTCGTCCATGTTGGCCGACACGGTGGCGCTGCTGGGTGTGGTGGCCGCCTCCGTCTTGACCGGGTGTTGGGGTGGGGTCTGTGAGGCTAGGGCAGCCGCCGCCGCCGCCTCGTCCTCTTTGATGCGCAGCTGGGCTTGCCTCTGGCGGGCTTCTAGTCCAGCCGAGAACTGCATGGAGCAGTTCATGGAGCAGAAAGTCATCTCCTCCTCCCCACAGTCCTGGACCGAAAAACAGCACATTTTTGTTCACATTTAGCTACTATTTTTCTTTTTTTAGTAAGTGTTTAACAGCACTTGCAACACAATAAGGTCATATAAGTGCCGAAGATTATAGGTGTTACAAGAGAGTAACAAACACAAGAAAAAAGGAGGGGAGATAAAGATGACAGATACTCGATAGGAAAGAAGAAGCAAACCACACCAGAGCACCTGCCAACCACCCACATTCTGCTACTAAAGAAAAACATTTGTAGATCCAAAGGTAATGTTAGTTTTCTTTGTTTAAGACAAGAGGTGTACAACAACACAATGACGACGACTTAGTACAGGGGAAAAAGAAATGTTTTAGTGTTTTACGGCACTTGAAACACAACAAGGTCATATAAGTGCCACAGATTAGAGGCGTTACATGAGCGCAACAAACACAAAAAAGGAAGGGGATAAGAACGATAGATGTTGAAAAGGAAAGAAAGAGTAAACCACACCAGAGCATCCACCAACCACCCATGGGGGAAAAGGTAAGATAAATAGAAACCACGGAGGGAAAGAAAGAAGTAGGACCTACCAGTGGAATCCTCCAACTACCTCCAGACCATTTGTTTTAGATTTGTAGAGGTTTTACGGCACTCGCAACTGCATAAGGTCATGTCATATGAGCGCCAGAAGATTAGAGGTGTTACAAGAGTGTAACAAACATAAAAATGAAGAAGGGGAGATAAGGACGATAGATGTTTGACAGGAAAGAAGGAGCAAACCACACCAGAGCACCCGCCAACCACCCACTCCAGACCATTTGGTGTAGGAAACCGGTCATACAGACAGACATGGATGGATGGACATACAGACACACAGACAGACAGACAGACAGACAGGCAGGCAGGCAGGCAGGCAGACAGGCAGACAGAAAAAAAACAGTGGAAGAGAAAAGAGATAAAAGACTCAACCTACACCCAGACTTAGCCAAAACTCACCGGGTCCTGCTCCAACAAGATGGGAAATTCTCTCTTGAACTTTGCGATGCCGGAGCACAAGACAAACACGTCGCAGTGCTGGCAGAACCGTGGCCGCGTCGACATCAGGGTGTGGATGTTCACAGCCTCCTCTTTGTCTGAGAGAAAGAACAACAACAACAGATATAGAAGGTACAAAACTAATGTGGAACAGACAACAGAGTTACAAAACCAAGCTCAATATGTTTGCACCACAATCAACTCCTCGGGTCTTTTGTTTGTTTTTCCTCCATATTTTTTTCCCTGAGTATCATCTGAGTATGTTTTGTATTTGTGTGTGTGTGTGTGTGAGTGTGTGTGTGTGTGTGTGAGTGTGTGTGTGAGAGTGTGTATGTGTGTGTGTAAGTGTGTGTGTATGTACGTGTGTGGGTGTGTGCATGCATGTGTTTGAATATGTTTGTGTGAGCGTGTGTGTGTGTTCCAGCCGCCCATAATGGCATCAGACTGACAACGTTAAAGCACGGGACAATTTAACATCAGAACAGAAATTATGTGAATATTCAAAAGTAGCTTTGGTATTCTTTTCTACCACATACTATATCAGTATCACAAAACCTTGAATCTTGACGGGCTCTGAGATAAACCTACGAGTCTTAGAAGTTAACAGTTGATAATTTTATTTGGGTGATAGACGTACAAAACATTCCTATAACATTCTTTTTAAAACAAACTTACGGGTGAGAGACATTCGGAACATCTCAGGAGAGGGGCTGCGCGTGACTTCGTACGTCGGGGGAACGGCAATCTTCAAGAGATCAGCAATGGCAGAGATGACGGCTCCGATGTCCTGAGCAGCGCCAGTGGACAATGTCAAGGTCACAGACACCTGAAGAGGAAAACGGCAAAACATCCAGTCTGAAACTCCACATCTGGGCAAGTCACAGTCCACATCATACACAAAGTCACAAGATTTACTTCAGTGATATCAGTCGAAATTGTTCAAGACAGCTGCTTGTCCAGGAGAAAACTGGTTGCCTTAGACAGATGGATAGGTTAGACAGCAGCTCTATAAAATTTTAAAAATGTGAAGGGGGTAGTAGGAAATGGGAAGAGGTTATTTGTACAAGTGATTCTTTTTTTTTTTTTTTTTTTTGACAGGTGGCTGTTAGAGCAAGTACGACTGTATTACAGTAAGTCCTACTTAAACACAGTTTAGTGCATCAGGTGCTGATATAATAAACTTCAACTTCACCTAAAATCATTTGTGAACACTCCCTCCCCCCACACACACAAACTCACACAGACACACACAACTCACACACACACACACATACGCACGCTCACACACCAAACCAAATCGTACTGGGCATCGTACAAAATTCCCCCAAACCCACCTGCTGATCCAGAGCTGGGTCCAGGAACGGTTGGGCCAGGCCAGAGGTCAGATTGGGCAGGTTGACCGTGAGGTCTCGGGCCCCCTGCTCCCCGACACCGCCTGCTGCAACGGCAGCTGCACCCGCCGCCAGATTGCCCAGGTCAAGGTCAGAGCTGTCTCGTTTCACAAGCTCTGGCTTCACACCGTCTGTGATCTGCTTCACTCCCGACGTAGACGGTCCTGCTAGAAGAAGGAGAATAAAAATAAAGATGGTAAAATTGCATAATACCGTAAGTATACTTTATAGAAAAGAAGTAAAATATTTAATACACTGCAACATCGACTACATGAAGAATGGTAACCATGAAAAAGATAGCATTGTATTTTTTTTTAACTATGGTGAAATCGTCTCTTTATTTTTCATTTCTTTTTTTAAAAAGATGATGATGATACTGATTTTGATGATCATAAGAGGCAATAATACCAAAGTCTCACTTTTTCATTACTGCTTTCAAAACTTTGCATTTGTTAGCTTCAGTAGAGAATTACTGCATTTTCAACACAATTAGGTCTTGTAAGTGTCAAAGATTAGAACTGTTAACTGTTACTAAAGAGCAACATACAAAGAAATTAAGGAGGACATTTGATAAGAAATAAGCATCAAACAAGACCACAGCTCCTGCCCACGATCCTCCTTTCCAACTGATAATGGCGACAACAAGATGAGGCTTACCCGGTTTGACAGGCAGAGGGTGCACCAGAGGTATCACAGGAGACGTGTTCTCCTCCACCACACCGTTCGAGGCCGCCGGGTCGATGGGTCGCAGACCTGGGTACTCCGGCTCCTGCTCGTTGAAGCCCAGCTCAGGAGAGGACGACGACACAACAGTGTCTGGGGTCTCGCGCTCATCCTTGCGACTGACGGGTACAAACAATATTTTAAATGTTACTTTTTCTGTAAAAACATGCAGAAACCAATTACAAAATGTTACTTTTCCACAATTACAAGAGATAGTTTCTCCTAAGAAACTAGACACAAAATGAAAACTCTTCGACAGAATAAATAGGTGGACTGTTACTTTCCAACATCATACTAAATGTTATTTTTTCCACAGAAACAACAGATAAAATGTTACTTTTGGGAAACAAATAGCATAAAAAAAATTATTTTTATCTCCCCACCCGAGACATAGAGAAAATCGTCTGATGAAGCAAAAACATTTTTTAAAATGCAACTTTTCTGTAAAAACAAAAAATGCTACTTTTCCCACAGAGACAACCACACAAAACGTTACTTTTCCAACAGAAAATACAACACAATATTTTCCCGCAGAAAAACAACATGCACACTTCCACCCACCACCACCACTAGAAGCAGTAAACTCACCCGTCGCGCATCATTGGCTCTGACTTGATCTCAATCCTAGGCTGTGGCGGCAGAGTGAGACGAGGGCTGGTGCGGGGGCCTGGACGTGCACCCATTGGGCTTCCGTCCTTCGACTTGAGTATTTGGAGTGGATCTGAGAAATTATTGAATTTTGCTTTCATTAAAACGTGACACATTACAAGACACAAAATAAAGTTAAGACCTTATATTTTTTTAAAATTTCCTACACCTCTTTTTTCTTTTTTTTTTTTTTCGAATAGAAAAAAATTGGTGAAGTCGCCAAGTTAGATACAAATCTGAATCAAAGTGTAAATTGGACTTGACTAAAGCTTGTGCTAACCCGAGAACAATGATAAAAATGACTCATTCTGTTTCGTGAAAAAAGCACTATATAATTGAACAAAGAAATAATGCTCTTTTAGAGATAATTCTAAATTATTTTTTCTTAAATTCAGATAACAACAAAAAAAGCCCTCCAAATGCAAGACCTCCACGAATAACTATTAATAATCAATTTATTGAGGCACCAGCTAACTGTCTATAGATTCTGCCAAACCAATAAATGATAAATTAATTCACACACACACAGAGAGAGAGAGAGAGAGAGAGAGAGA